ACACTCGGAGCAGGACCAGATAAATATTTACCTCGCAGAGTGGTTTTTCTAGATTACATTTCGAAGTTCACAAAAGACATTCACGATCTCAGCGCATAGAACATAATTGCTGATATCTTGTCAAGGCCTGCAGTAGCTTTGGTGCGTTTACCCCCGGCATTGATCTCAGTCGCGTAGAACTTCAGAAAAGGAATCATCTTCGACATTGTTGAGTTCTAAGTTATCCCCGAAAATAGGACCGATGCCGCTACACACCGCACCAGGAACTAGAGATTGTTATACTGAGACAGCTCATTCAATACCCCCGGTCCCACCCTTCATGCGATAACAATTTTCGAGGCATTGTGTGATGTTTCACAACAAAGTATAGGTTCAACGCATAAACTCATCTCTCAGTGCTTCGTATAACCGGAAATGAATGAACACATGCGCAACCGGACAGCAGCAGTTCTAAGGTTATTCGACATACACTATCACGCATAGGAAATTTCGCTGTTCCTGACAGCAGATTCGGTCATGTACACTTGGATACATTTGGTCGTCTACCTGCATTTAACGGCTACTCCTATATACTCACCATTATAGATCAATTCACTCGGCGGCAGGAGGACATTTTCATAAAAAAAATATCCACAGACCGCGTTTCTCGGGCATTAGTTTGTCGATGGATTTCCACATTCGACATTCCCTTGTATGTTACTACTGACCACGGCCCCCAGTTTTACTATTTATTCCGACATGTGACACAATTGCTCGGTTGCACACATTCGTGCGACCGTTGTAGTCCTCAGGTAAATGGATTAGTTGAGCGTTCTTTTCCTCACCTGAATTTCGCTATCATAAATAACGATGACCTTAAATTATTGCCACATATTACTGGTTATATTACTACACCTACGCACAACGTTTCGTTCCCATTACGCTGTTCACCAGCGGGGTTAGTTTTTGGGATCACTACGCATTCTCGGGGAACACATTATGTCCACAGGGGAAATTCCGAACAATTCACTTTCCCAAGTGATTCAACTAAGAAGTATGCCAAAACTTCGATATCGTTCATTTTGCATTCTCAGTGCTTCATCATGTGTTTCAGCAGTCTTCTGGTTCATATGTTTTTATGCGTTTTGTTTCTGCTGTGTCAGAAAACCTTTGCAACATCACTACGACGGCCCTTATATTGTGACGGCCGTCATTTTTACTGGTCCGTCTCTGGGAAACCCTAATCATAAAGTCCACCCTAATTTCTAGGTGGAGGGTATATTCAGCTATCCCTTCACTTATATACATGGCCGCACAGCTCACAGCCGCTCATTGAATCAAGAGACCTGTCTTTTTTCCTTTACTCACAAATGGCACCACACAGTCGTGATTAATCTGACATTGACCGCCTACCGTCTTTTAAGGGTAGCAGCAAATGATATGCCGTAACACTCACGAACACGCAAACGTACCTGTGACAAGCAAACTGTATCTTCGAGGGACGCGTAGTATCAGAACCTCCGAGAAGGCTGAACAGAGGCGGACCTGTGTTTCCATACGGCTCTACCAATGTAAGACAACTTCACAAGTAATACAAAAATTGATTGTAGATCCCCTTTCAAAACAAGTGGTCCACTTGGACTAAAAAATAGGAACCAACTGGGGAACCAATCAAGTGGGACAGTTACACGTGCATAAATTCGGCCACAAATGGCCGCATGATCTCAAGGCCAAATGAGTGAAGTTGTAAGGACAAACGAACGCCAGTTCATCTACACTCACTAAACACAAAAGTGAGGTTGGGTTAAAAATAAGGACAGAATAAATGTTGGGAGTTCCTAATGTCAACGTAATGGACGGTACAGTACCTACGGTAGGTACCTACGGTACCTACATATAGGAAAATCGAAAACTGTCCGCACACAACAACACAACGCAACTCAATGGCACTACGCACGTCACCCGACTTGGAGTCCGGCCGCTCAGGACTATTGACGCACCATACGTAGATAGTCAGAAACTACCAGTAGCTGCAACAACGGCGAATAAAACACGTAACCTACCTCTGAACCTGCTTTGGACTTATTGAGTTGTACCTACAATACGATAAATCCCTCTTCCAATATATAATAACTGTACTCATTTCACTCAACAAAACTGCCTTCGTCAGTGTTCATCGTTTTTTGTCTATACAGATGATTTTCGGGTTATAGTAGAGCATTAACACGTACAGCTCGGTGCACCGGTTGATTGAATCCGCCGTGGAGCACCCTGCTTCGAGAAATTAACTTCCGCGTCTCACGTCTCCACTTGGCAAAATTTCTGCGCTTTTCCAGACTGAATTGTGGCCTTATTGGTCATCATGTATGGATAGGAAGGATAGAAGTCGTTTCGCTTGACGGCCGCCCCTGTTTTCCGCTCCTGACGGTCACTCGAGCATCGACCGGAGAACGAGGACAAGGGGTGCTTAGGTCAAATGCCAGGTGGGCATCGGTGAATGAGGACAGAGGATAACCAGTGAAACCGCTCTGCTGAACATACAGTCACGATCATAGGTCAGCGCTGGACAGCAGCATGCATCTTAGCACACACGTAATACTAGTCAATGCACCACCATCAATTCATCGCCATGCACCTCTATGCTCCACAATAAGACGCTGAAGGTGTCACCTCGGTTGGCGATTAAACGTTTGCAATCAAATTATCAATCTCAGTGAACAAGCCGAAAACCACGTATGCCATCGTCCATGTTGATCGTAGACACCAAAATCAGACTATTAGGCGGTGAGTAGCCGTTGTTGAATCGCTAACAAAAAGTTACTATTCAGAATAACACAGTGTTGATGGTTATTGCTTCAGTTTTACCTGGATCTACGACCCTTCAATTATTGGTTCGTAAACCGTTCGATGTCTGTTAGACAACAGGTGGATACATGTAAGTTATTGAACATACTTTCAAAGCTTTTCAGCATGCAAAGCAGTTTAATCATACATGACCCATATTTGTTGGTGACCCTCTTAACCCTGATTTATAATGAAGGACCAAATGGTTCATCCTTGTTAGTAAACGCATCCACGAATATGCCAGCAAGTATGCCGGAAAAGTTCAGCTTTCCGTTAACCCTGTACAGCTAGACGAGTAAACAATCAACAAGTTCAGCTTTCCGTTAACCCTGTACAGCCAGACGAGTAAACAATCACAACATTTTGTGAGAAAAAGGTGATACACTGTTTACTGAAATACAACAAAAGTGAAGCAACAATTGTCGGGTGAGACAGCAGTTTATCCTCTAAGGGAAACGTTAGGAAGGATCACCTAAATTTTCACATCGATAACCCAAGCCCATCGCCGTCTTGCGATTTTCGCTGTTTACTTCGTTGTAGTCTACTTCGCAAGTTGCAATTTCGAATGGCCTGGAATCAACTTGTTCCTCATGGGTGACGCCCTTGAACGGAACTACCGGGAAAACCTATTCAGTGCGTATGGGTTGTGTGACCCATATCTAATTATTCTAAAGATCAACGAGCTCGAGCAAAATAAGTTTGTCGGTACACGGGCTAAATATGTAAACACATGCCTCGTCAATCGCTCAGTGAGTTCCAACTTCAAATCAACCACACACATGTGGAACACTCAATAATTTTCTGTACTATGCTTCCAATTGCTCATTTCTGTTGATAATAGCCTGAACACAGTTGAGCAATGAGGAGGACAAAATTAGTTCTCACTTGATGCACCTATTACCTGATTCGACTCGAATCATCCTTTCAACAACAAGGGTAACAGCATGCCCGGGGGGGTTGCCTTGCACATTTATTGCTCATTGAGGGGAAACCAGTATTTTTGGTTAGGTCTTCTGATACTGGTGGCATAAAATTCAAATCCACTCACTTTTCAAAAATACAACATTGACTTCAACCATATAAACGGAAGCCCCTGTCGATAAAGTCACTTGTCAATTCCGGACCCTAAAGTTCGGTGAACGGTAAAAGGGTAAAAATGACAGCAGAATAAAAATCGCCGTTTTAAGCTTACTCTTATACATCACACTCCTTACGACAGCCTTCAGTGGAAACACCATTTGCAAAAACATGTTCAATGACAGTATCCTAGTTTACCTGTGACTCACTGCGGATAAAGGAGTAGAGCACACCCCGATCAAAGCCATTACAGTCGGTGACTGCCACGTGCCACGGGCAGTGTCTGCCTATTTTACGCTGACACATTGAATCAGCCTACACACCACCATACTTCGCAGAAAAAACGCAGCTGCACCGGCGTACACGAAAGAAAAACATCCAAATTGTTACCATCGCAAGCAGACAAAGCATGTGCACATTTGCTGATCTTGAACGCGCAATCGACAGATTGCGCAAGTATCACTCCATACATCATTCCCTATTTAGACCCTGATGAACTGTCCGATGGAATTCCCGCAGGTTGGAACCAAATCCAATAATTAACAACACACAGGGCTGCGGAACATCCGCTTGCTATACTGCCTTCGTCCACCGATGCTTCTTGTGGGCCTGCAATAGATTAAATGGCAATAACATCTTTCTTGCATGAGAGCATTCTAGGATGCAGTGTGCATAACTTCAGCATTATAGGCGACATCTTTGTCATGGTCAACGAAGCACCAGATGCGTTCAACATTACCTTGCAGAGATCCGGATAGCACGACAAATGAGCGGGGAATAACCGTAGCTCTTACTAGCGAATACGCATTAATCTTCAAACTAATTTGGTTCTTTCGAGAGATGATGTTTATGATGTTCTCGTTTCTGATGTTCTCAGCGTAGCTCTTCATCGGGTTTCATACGACCCTGACGTGACCTTGGAATGCTCGCAGCCCGGTGCACACAGCAAGCCACCAAGTCTGACTTTCAGGTTAACAGAGGCCGCTGAACGACAAGAACAGACCCGGCCCCGGAAGTTAGGTTGAAATCCTTGACCCCGTGCACCACCCCAGCCCATTGGACTGAATGGGCCATTGTTTTAATAACTACTGGCGGCTGGTGCGAATTACCGCGCTGTTATACATGTGGTCCGCTGTGAAATGCTTTCGGATTAAATTCGCAGCCAACTGAGCAGCTTTGAGCTAATTTTGGGATATATTATTTTATTTGATAATGTCCTCAACTGCTGCTGTTATCCCAAACGTTGCGTATCACCTACCCAAGCGCGTAGATGGGAGCTTCAAGTCTTCGACATCAACGAATGGCATCAGTTTGTATTCCAGCTTGTCGGAGTCGGAAAACAACTCATGCGATCCAGTGAATAAGCCGTCAACTTTGAATTCTCAAGGAGACTCTGATGCCTCCACGACCTCTGCTCGACATGTGTCCTCCTGCCTAGACGCCGCTTTACGGAGCTCACTCAAACCAAGGACACTTATTAGTGGCAATGGTCATACGCTTTCAACGGAGTTTCCTGAGTTTTCGGAACGCTGCTTATCTTTCCAGGAATCATCTGCACCTCCTCTGGACACAGTCATACGGCAGCGCATACAAACTTTCCCAAAGTGTCTGATTTTGACCGACTCCGAGCCCTCAAGACCCACCTCCGGTACGTTGGTTCGCTATTTTTAACTACGCAGTTTTTATGCACTGTTATTGACAATGTAGCTGATTTGAGACATTCAAAAAGAAATTTTGGATTGGTAATTTGAAGCTGACTATGTTCGTTTCCTGAACTCGTACGTGGACAAAACACGTCTGCCGTGCGGCAGGACGTTTCCGCCTCTCATCAGTAGCAACGACTATTTTTTCTCAACCCGCAGCTAATTCAGGACGAGTATAAAATACATTAGTTCGCTCACTCATTCTCAGATCGACCCGCGGGAGACCCCAGCTTCAATTCGGATGCCACTTCAGAGTGCAGGCGGTTTTTTATAGTTAAAGCAGCTGCCTCCAGTTCGCAATTCCCATCTCCCAACTGGTGAGTGGGAATTGCGGCTGGGACCGTTGTAGCTAGTACGCAGCTTGAGGCTGCTGTTACCGTCGCTTCCGGTTGTCAATGTGATTTCCACAGCTCTCAGTCCGTGTTACAGCTGTTGTTATAAACAGGAGCAAGACAGCACTCAATTGCGGAATCGTAAGTGAATCGCTTCTTGTTGCATGGTGCGGAGTTTGAATAATAGATTTCCAAATACCGTTAAACTGATCTCACGGGCCAAAGATCACTCGGCGTGTACTTTGAACGTCCCCATAGCTTTCTTATTATAGCGTACCCAGAATATGTCAACTTGGGTGATTAAGCCGGTACTTTTGGTTTAGGCTCTCTTGAAAGACCTTATCCGTATGCAACCGAAACTGAACGCGTCCTAGTTGGAGGATGTTCTAGGTGTTTTCGTCACTAAGAGGTGCTCTCTTACTCCGTGTTAGGTTTCCAGTAGGTTTATTCCGCTCGTGTACCTTCAGCCGTCTCCACAGGTGTGCTCGCAGTGTCTGGGCAACTTCTCGTTGGTATTAACATTAAGGACGCTCATATGAGCAGCTACAGGCAACTGCCAGTCCTGTCCCTGAACGTAACGTTCTAGTTGAAGTACCGACCCGTCAAACAATCTGATTCGCCGCACCATTAGGAAATTAGGTTTCAATTGATCCCGATCAGGCATTCCACATGGCTGCAAATCTCCAACAGCTATTTTTCTCCGAAAGGTGCTCTTTCAATCCGACACCAACGGTAGAGAAAGGACCAAACACATTGCCCACGTTGCTTTTTAGTTGGACGTCGGTGGTGGTTTCGGGTTCGTTGGGCAATTAAGGCTGTTGGGTGAAGACCCGGAGTTAACCACAGAATGGTGACAAAAACGGTGTAAGAAGCTTTCTTTAGTAATACTTAATGATACGCTTACTTGAGGTTGGTGTGACGAATTCTTTGCAGCACTTTCGGTAGTTGATGGAAATCCGGGGTTTTAGTTCAGCCCAGTAGGCTCCAAGTAGTAAAAGCAGGGTTCCAGGTCATCCGGTGAGCTTGTTCAAAGTGAAGTACGGGGCATCTCACATCAGTTGTCTTTTAAGGTCAACTTTTGTTAGGATCACAAGGTCGAAGGTTTTTGTTAAAGATTAAGGTCACTGTATCTTGTTGGTTTCTCGCTTTCGTTTCACCAGATAGGCATATTTTTTCATGTCAAATACGAAAGTTGACTCACGTGCTTCCCATTATGTGTATGGAAAGTGATTCAGCCGTTGTCGTCTATACGTATGCTGCGAGATCGTCAGAAACTGTTCGGGGGGACAGTACCAAGTAATTTGAATGTCACTGAAGATTCGAGGCTGGACATTTTGGTCTGTGCTTATTGCACGACGCTTCATACGGTTTCGAACTGGTTTCCCTATAAATGCGCGCACCAGCTCACTGAATTTTCGAATGCCTCCATTGATCTCGTTACTCGGCCGCATTAGGAAAAGCGAATTAACCTTGTAATAGGCAAAAGCTTTTTTCCAATAAGAGATGTAAGCTATCCTCTCGTTAGAATTGAATTTAACCATTTCATCAGACTGTCGGTTCAGTGCGAATTATCTATGACTATCTCACTATGCACAAGTTACCAAGATTTGGCCGACAAATCCAACTCGGACGACAGCCACTCATCGTTACTCAGCAACTTGCAGCATCCCGAGTGAATGGTAGGTTTCAGCGGTGCACATATAACCTGTTATCTGCACCCTTGTCACTCATGTTCGTCAAACATCAAGGCCCGCGCAATACAGTAAAATAATAAAAAAATAATCGTTCAGCTGTAGCGCCCTTTCGGTGCCTAGCTGCCATACCACCCGAAGGAAGCACGAGGGCTGGGATACTGTCAGGTTGCCCAAGTCTAGACAGGGGAAGTCGAGTGGCGGAGGTCGGGTTCGAACCACGGATCTTCCGGTCGGTAAATTCGCGCTCTAACCACTTGAGCCATCTCTCTTGAGCCATACGCTGGTATTTGGCATGCCTTTGCGACTGACAGTGAGCTCTGTTGTGGACTCTGCAAGCCACTAAACCTTCCTTAACAATGCTCGAAAGAGTTAGGTTTTTCAAAGGTATATAACTATTCCTGAAGTATATCAACTCGGATTTAGCGCGCTCTTCTCCCAACCTAGTTTTCTGTGCTTCTATCTGCATCTTAATTTTTGAATTTATATAGCATGGTTGATTGTATTCGTTCCTTCCCCCACTAACAGCCCTCTGGTACACATGATGCACTTTCGAACTGAGTGAACAGGTCCAGAATATTGTTACGGATGGAATATAGATCCTGTTTGAGCGCGAGAACGAGAGTAACTAGCGCCTTACTCATCCAAGAATAGACGTACGTAAGCTGAATGTAGAGGCAAAAGCATGGTTACTACGAAGAGACAATGTGCACACAAAGGATAACCATGACATTCACCCGGGTGGATTGTGTGTTACGGATGGAATATAGATCCTGTTTGAGCGCGAGAACGAGAGTAACTAGCGCCTTACTCATCCAAGAATAGACGTACGTAAGCTGAATGTAGAGGCAAAAGCATGGTTACTACGAAGAGACAATGTGCACACAAAGGATAACCATGACATTCACCCGGGCCGTTGGATTGTGTGTAGAGAGTGCTGACTCGGATACAGGAACTGAATGCAGATTGATTGTAATAGTCTACTAAGAGGTAATGAAAAGTGTGATTAGACTTCTCGGTTTCTTAAAATTCAGCATCGTGTACGTTGCTGGATGAGACTTGAGGGTTATATGTATTTGGTGATGCAGGTGCATGAACTTTGGTCGGGCTGGGATTTCCACCCCCACCCCCCGGTTTTTTCTAATGATCCTACGTGGATTGACAACCACACCGTCATGTGTCAACTCAGTTAATTAAGACCGCTTTCCACACGCTCGCCAGCTCCACACCCTCGATTCTATTCACGCTGTGATGCTTAGTAATTTCCACCGCATCGGCTATCAGCCGCTGTGGTGTGAATCACAGTCCCCGTCTTACAACTTCCACATTCTCCAGATCTATTCTGTGTCCCGTGTCTAAGGCATGTATAGCCATCGCTGAGTCTTTGACCAGCGTTTGGTATTCTGCATTCCTTGGTGGTTTGTTAATCCTTCTTTGGTGCTCACAAATTCTGGTGTGCAATTCCCTGGCAGTTTGTCCTATATAGACCTTAGCGCAATCGTTGCAGTGGTTCCACGGTGGTTACCGTGGAATAGTTAGCCAAGTTGGTATAGACAAACTACAGCATGACCGACTTGCAAACCGAAACATTCGTTCATGTGGAGGGGTATTCGTGGGACACAGGATGCGACCGTGTAAAATGCAGAGCATCTTATAAAGCCGACTCATAATGACAGATTTGGAGGCCTTTCGTCTCGAGTCTGAGATGGATTGCGTTCCAGTGTCCCGTTGAGGCTTCGCCGTTCCCCTGGGGATTATAAGCAATTGTTCGGCTAGTGCGAACCCTTTTTCAAGCATAAAGGTGAACGGTTCCTCAGATATGAATGAGGAACCATGATTCGAATGTACATATGTAGCCATACCTGTTGCGCACTCGAATGATTGTGCCAGAAACAGAGAACGAGGATTGCCGAATGATTGGCTTTAATCTTCTATCAATTTCAGTACATCAGCTAAAACATTAGGAAACACAATTAGCTCAACGAGTAGCGAGTAAAAAGTTAAACACAACGTCAATATATAACATTCTTCCCCGCCGGAGGGATTATTGTCAGGAGAATATAAATTAGGCTTCGCGGTTTCGAAGATTATACGGTCGAACACGCTGTTGGTCTGTGATGTACTGTAGGACATTCCCTGGAACCTCACTGGGTTGTTCTGGTGGTGCCGTTTCGCCTCCAGGAGGATCAAGCGAGTGTGATTGAGTCTCGTCTGGAGGAGCCGCTGCACTTTCGATTGATTCAGATAAATAGACATCTGATATTGTCTGTGCTTTGGGTGCCAGATGTCTAAGAGAAACAGTTTCTTCCTTTCCGTTCGGGAAACGAACGCAGGCATACTGCGGGTTACAATTAACAAGTTCCACCTCTTCCACTAACGGATCGTATTTGGAAGAACGTGTCATCCTTTTTAACAGAACGGGGCCTGGAGTCGATAACCAAGTCGGAAGAGAGGTGCCGTACGTTGACTTCCGGTGGAAGTTAAGGAATCTTTCATGTGGTGTCGTGTTAGTAGCGGTGCACAATAAGGAGCGAACAGAGTGCAAAGCATCTAGAAGCACACATTCCCACTCGGTAATGTCCCGTTGTTGGGTCTTCAACGCCAGAGTGATAGACTTCCAAAGAGTACCATTAAGCCGTTCGACTTGTCCGTTACCGCGCGGATTGTATGGGGTAGTTCGACTGGTTGCTACACCCCTGTCGTGAAGAAACGTTTGTACTTCACCTGACATGAAAGCTCCACCACGATCAGAATGGACGTATGAGGGCATTCCGAACAAAGAGAACAACTGATTAAAACACTTGATCACGGTGGATGAGGACACATCCGTACACGCGAAGGCGAATGGGAAACGAGAGTACTCGTCGATCATTGTTAGAAGGTATTTGTTGTGGGAGGTCGATGGAAGTGGGCCTTTAAAAT